ATATTATATTATATTATATTATATTATATTTGCCCAGTAAAACTGGATTAGAGATTTTCAAATTTCAAGTATAACTCATGCACAAGTTTCATTGGTTGGTATGTTTGACAAATTCTAATAAAATTGGAAACAAATTGTCTTTGTGACAAACTGTTGTGTGCTACCAACGTGTCTAAAGATTAGCTATTTGCTATGTGTTGACAAAACCACACAAAACTTCTGAGAGATTGAAAGTCTGCAGAACTACATATCAACCATGATTTAAAAAAATAGCTTATTAAAGGTAAATTTGATAAACTACTTAAGACTTTTACTCAATATTTTATCGAATTACTCCAGGGAAACAATTAAATAGATGCGAAAAGACTACTGTGGTGTCTTAGAATTTATCTGGTTGAGGTTAATGAGGTTTTATTGCTTTTTCCAAAATGTTTAAGTCCTAGCAGAGAAATAAAGCTACTTTTTACATTTCTGTAGCTAAGTTTCAGCTGTTATTTATCCATTTGTAATTATTTTTTTAATTAAATAATCCTGAATACATGTTGTCCCTCAGACTGGCATCAAGTCCTGCTGTACAATAACTGAACATCTACTCTACCCTGCTCTGACAAGATATCATTAGTGCTGTACTGAATATATATAGAAAATGTAAGCAGATTTCTTCAATTTAGAAAGTCAGTAAAGAAATACTTTTAAAGATGAGTAGTTCAAGTCTTCTGTTCTATTTCAACACAGTTCGGTTGCTTCATTTGATTTGCGAAATATGTTTTACTCTGTGTTCAAAACAAAATCTATGACAGACCTGTTTGTAACATCAAAGAGCGTGCGGCTCACCTGTGATTAAACCTGCGGTTTCATATTCTCACAGCTTCCTCTGAGCGACTCTAAATCCAAAGACTATTATCTCTGTCGTAATCTGCATCTCATCTCCTCTCCGGCCTCGCTGCTAATCCCTCCTGTACAAACTGATGAAGAGCATCCTGACGCAGGAATGAAAGGAGCACTGACAGAATGAGCTTTGACTTGTAAAAAATACAAGAACGCGTCAGATTGACAAAACGTTATAAACTGATAAAAGGACTCGGGGTGCTGGGTTAAAAGGTCAGAAAAGCACATTTTTTTCTTCTCATGAACAGTGATGTATAAACAGATTACTGACACCAGGAAACAAATGGTTTGAATATTTCTAATTTAGTTGGGTTCCAGATCAGTAATTCATCACAGAATTGGTCATTTTTGGTATTTCAGACTGATAAACAGGTTAGTTTGTACAGAGGGAAGACAGCAATACCAGTTTGTCCACAACCTGTAAATGTACTTGCTGTGCATTAGTACTTACACACACCAGTCTGGGTGTCTGATGACACAGTTCAGTGTAAGGTTTGTGACAGGCTGTGGTTGTCGTTATTACTGATCTGCACATGGCCCCAGGGCTAAGAAGATAACACTGCAGCAGTACAGGTTCAGACAGGCACAAGTCAAAAATATACCCCCAAGCCCTACTTTACTAATTTTTTTATTAATYCCAAGAATTTAATAAAATGGTTTACAAATGGCTGGAAAATGCAGAGTTTTGAGTAGATATTTTACAAGATTTTCCAGGGGAGTAAACCTCTGGACCCCCCCTGGAACTGCTTCAATCCACAGCTGCTTGTTAACATGAACAGGTGTTCCTCATTGCTGTCAGTAGATGTTGACGAATATGAGATATACTTCTGTTTTAATTCATTATATTGTTAACCATTTTAATTGGGAAACTCTTTTTTTCTAAAAATAATAACAAAAACAAAACTATTTAATTTGGAATGTACAGTGGGATTTAAAAAACTGTGCGAGGGGCACCACCTAAAATCTTGCCTAGAGTGGCAAACTGGCTAGAGCCAAACACAATTAGTTTTTATAATTTATATATTAGACTACTCAAATCCAGAGAAAACAGACAAGAAAACACTTTTATTTGTACAGTTGTTTAGAAACTGGTTAAACAAACCCTGACTCTGTATTTTAGAAAGGTTTTATCAGCAGTGTTGGTTCTGTATTCATACAAAATCCTGACTGGTTGGCGTGCATGCCTTTTAGCTTTTGTCTCATTGTTTTTTATAATCAATATAGTTTTTTTAGTCAAAAAGTGTCAAAATGTTGTTGTATACTTATTTTCAGTGCAAAATCAAACCTATTCCACGTTGTTGTCCTTTTTATGTCCTTTAAAATAAATTTATGTTTTAAATCAAGTCAAGTCTTTAAAAATGCTTTGAGGTGATTAAAATCAGCCATTTATCATTAATGATTGAGTAATCACAAGTTTGTTTGTTTTGTATTTTTTAACAAACAGACAAACAAGAAATGTGACTCTTAAACAGGACACTCCTGACTAAATCTTTAGGTATGTGCTCTCAATTAAATTAATTACTGCCTGGACTTTAAAACACAAACAATAAAATGTCTCAACTTATTCTAATGCGCACTTTTTGTGATTTTTTTCATAGCTATATAGTATTTATGGTACAATAATTTTTATTATATTTCATTATAAGTGATCACTGCTTTATAAAAAGTTTGTTTTTTGTGGACTGAAACGCTTCTGCCCAGTTCTTTGTTTACATCCGGCACTCACACGGTTAATCCAGATTGACAGGGGAAGGGACAGCTGCGCATGCGCAAGTGGCACTGACAGAGGAAACAGCCGGGGAGTAGTCAAACAGCCCGCGATCAGACAGAAAGAAGGAGAGGAAAAAAAGAATTAAAAACCCACTGAAGACAAAAAAACAAAACAAAACTCAGGTTCAGCGGAGGCTTCCCCCGCTCACTACAATTATGTTCGTCTCGTCGCCGTCGACTCCACACAGGTGTCCGCTTCCCGGTCGCTGAATGGCGCTGGTTACCGTGCAGCGTTCGCCGACCCCCAGCACCAGCTCCAGCCCCTGCGTTTCGGTGAGAGCCGCTTTCACTCATTTCACAGCCGCGCTCACCATCATTTTACACCTCCACGGAGCCCAAATATTCAAACTGCAGAAGGCGCCCCAGGGTTTCGTTTCCGCTGCCTTTTTTTTTTTATATCGGCTGCTGCCTGCCTCCAAGTGCTTTCGCCTTTGTGCTCGTGCGCATGCGTCAAATATAACATCATTTTTTTAGAGTTATAGCATCGTAGCTAGCAGCAAAGTTAACCTGCTCGAAATATCTTTTTGCTATTGTTGCTATATGGTTAGCTTAAAATTGAATAAAATGTTCCTTATTTTGTTGTAATTTGTATATTGTTTAGTTCGGCTACTTTACTAAAACAATGTTAGAAACAGAAACAGGTTATTCTATGAATCTTTCTGTGACAACACAGCTCATGTTTTGTAGCTGTAGTATTACAGGTTCATGATTTAATAATTTTATGACGTGCCTAATTGGTGTTATTTTTGTGCTTTTTATAATGTTTAGATTGATTTCTGCCATCTCCCCAGAGTTGGTCCTCATTCTGCATATCTGCTCATGTCTCTGTGTTTGTTCATGCAAAGCAGGGGTGCACAGGTGCTTGTCCTGTTGTCATTCCCCTGCGCTGTCTTCTCTCTGCAGAAGCAGGAAGCACAGCAGAAACTCAGACACAAAGTGAGGAAGTAATATACAGGCAGACTGCTGTAACACAACTGTGCACGCTTCCTGTGTAGGTGCTGCTTTGTGTACTCTTTGTTCCATCTTGTAAGCAGCAGAGATTACAGATTTGCACCTTTGCTTACAAACATAAAACTAATTGATAGATTTTGATACTTTGGCAGTGTGTTATTGCAACAGTAAAGTTAGTTTTAGTCATGGATATAAATATTTTTTTCTAACCCCTGCTGTGAATCACAAACTACAATTAAGTTACTGTTTTACCCAAAGGCTCAGCTGGTGTCTGGCCTTTAAAGTGACCCTGTCCCTCACGGATCAGAGAGGAAGACAGGTTCTGTAACAAAGCATATATATATATATATATATATATATATAAGCATAAATATGCACCTGGCCATGTGCACATGTTTTAGGTGATTTGCTCTGTCACCTGTCCTGCAGCGTGGCTCAAAACAAAGAAAATATTTAGATCCTGAGCAGTCTGCAGGTGGGAGTGCAGGTTTGTGTTCTCGGAAGGTTAAAGTTGTTAGACATCTCATTGTCAACCAGTCTTTTCTCGTGATTTGAAAAAACGAGCTGATGATAGAAAATAATAGAGTAGGACGTGTGTGTGTAATTTGCTAATGTAAGAATGCAGGATGTGCAATGGAAATATGCATTATGGGAACTGCAGACACATGCCGTGAGAACAAGTTGCAGCCTTTCATCACAGTTATGTGATGCCTAAAAGCTGTTTT